TACCAGATTAAGGGAGTGACTTCTTCAACAACACCAATGGTTTGTAAGTTGAACAAATCATTATATGGTTTCCGCCAAGCTTCCAGGCAATGGTATGCCAAATTTTCAACATTTCTAGTTACATAAGGTTTTATTCAATCTAAAGCGGACTATTCTTTATTCTACAAAGGGACAGGTCCATCTTATGTTGCACTACTCGATTATGTCGATGATGTTGTCTTCACGGGAGCTTCTAGTGATGAGATAAATCTAGTGAAAGCTCGTCTCAGTGATCAATTCAAACTCAAAGATGTTGGGCAACTAAAACATTTTTTGGATCTTGAGATTGCCAGGTCTAAGGCTGGAATATTGCCTTCATAAAGGCAATATGTTCTGGAAGTAGTTGAAGATTTTGGTTTGTTGGCTGCTAAACCAACACAATATCATATGGATCCCAAGACCAAGCTGTCAGATTCAGTAGAGGAACTTCTCCCTGACCCGACCAAATATAGACGGTTAGTTGGACGTCTCATGTACCTCACTATCACTCGATCAGACATCTTATTCAGTTTATCGGCTTAGTCAATACTTGACAAGTCCTCATATTCCTCATAAGAAAGCAGTTATTTATTTATTACGATTCTTAAAATTACATCCAGGTCAAGGGTTGTTTTTGTTTGTTAGATGATCTTTACAGATGAAGGCTTTTAGTGATGCAGCTTAGGCATATTCCAACAAGCAATCACTTCAATTGAACGCATTTAGTGATTCGAATCCGTTGTTTTTAGATCATTAACTGAAGTGGAGTATCGAGCTATCGTTGTGGTAACTTATGAGAACTTTTTGCTACAAGATCTTGGTGTGAAGACTCCTGACCCGACTTTAGTTGTTTGTGATAATAATCCAGGTATTCAATTGGCATCTAATCCTACCTTTCACGAGCAAACAAAACATGTCGAGATAGATTGTCACTTTATTCGTGACAAGATTCTGGATCACATGCACCATCAAGCTGATGCCTATTCGAAGTCAGTTTCAGTTAGCTGACATCCTTACGAAGTCGCTTCCTAAGTCGAAGATGTTGCCAATTATTTCCAAGATGGCTCTTCATGACATTTTTGCAAGTACATCTTGAGGGGGCGTATTAGACTAGTTGTACTTGTTGTAATCTAGTTAGCTGGATTAGTATTCAAAATAAATTGCTTCCAGTTCCAGGTAAGGAGTAAAGTTTGTTGGAGATATTCATCTCTCTGTTGCTCGATAGCAATTTATTCGTTGTTTCCTACCTCGTGCTCTTTAACCCCCTGCCCAACTCAACCAACCCAACTGTGGCTGCTAATCCTTTGAAATCGACATCATTCCTACGGGTCGCACACCCATGATAACCATATTCCTCTCCTCCCAAATGCAGCTCCGATCAACATTCGACCATATTCATGCCCTCACTTCCAGAAGGGCATCATGACTGATTTTACCACCGGAAAGCTACACCTTCTCCACCTCACTTCAGATATCGAAACCTTGGTAGAACAAAAATATTATGCAAATGTACAAAAATGTTTCTTTATACAGAAACAGTACATTACTTGGGCTATCTTATTTCCTCCAAAGGTATTTCAGCCGATAAATATAAAATAAAACCTCTGATCTGTTGGCCTGTTCCGAACACCGTCAGTCATTCGACTCCACCGCCTAACAGTCTACTACTGTTGTTTTGTGCTTAATTATGCATGTATCGCCTTCAACGTCATTAAACTTCTTCAAGGTCCCCATTTCTATTGGTCGGATGCTGCAATTCAACCACCACAAACAGGCCATGACAAAGCTTCCCGTCCTTGCCCCTCTCGACTTCACCCAGACCATTGACATTACGACGTTTCGACGCCACAAGTATCAGCATTGGGGTTGTCTTATCACAGTCAGACCACCTTAGAAGATGGGTTTTTGAAGACGAGTCGTGTCGGCTTATACCCACGAACTATTTGCCTGAATCTTGTATTGTATTGCTCTTTTGAATTAAAATCAAGTCATAACTCAATATTGCAACTTACAATCTCTAAAATATATTGAGGACATAAATATATGACTCCACATTGGTGGTTATCTATGATGTGGAAATCATCTCCTTCCATGTCACTATAACAAAAAAAGGTTATACAACATTTTTCAAATCGTGTCCTGTATTTAATTGTACAACATGATATGATACTTTAATTAACAAGTCTTATTATTATTGTAAAAAGTGTCATATTAAGACATTTAATTTGTGTTACAAGACATTTAATTTGTGGATCCTATTAGACTAATCCAACATTCTAATGTAATCATAGATAAACACATTTTATAACTACATAACGTTATACTCTATTAGGACACTTTTAGAATTACATAGAACATTTTATGAGATCTTTTAATTTGTTTCATAATTATAGAACTTGTTAGGTCGCCTAAATGTCTTAACAATTTACCGTAACATCTTTAGATATACAGGACACCTATGTATTGGTCCTATAAATTTACCAGTTCTATTAAATAGGTTCTTCGGACGCTAATAGACATCCTAACAAGTGCCTTCCGTTGTAGTGTCATGTGAACTTAACTAAATACTGATGGATCTTACTAAATACCAACGGAATCATAATAAAAAGTTTTAGCCCTGATTCTACACGATGTATGTGCATGAAGGTAGATTGGAGACTCGAGCACACAATAACAAGCATCAATCCAAGGTCGTTTCTTTGGGAGGACGAGTCAGGCACTCGTCCAGGGCCTAGAAAAGTAAGGGCCCAATTTTTATTGTTTGTTATTGGTTATTGTTTCTCCTTATTGAATGCAATCAGTCAATTCTATTGTTGAGTTTGAAAGTTAGGAAATAGTTTTTCAAAATTTTCCATCCATTGTCTAACCATTTATTAAGGGGTTGTTTGTTTACTTCTTAATAATTCCATTAAGAGACAGTGTCTGAATTATTAAGAGGTTAATTTTGTTTGTCAAAAAAAGTCTGCCTATTAATGGTTCTAAAATTCTCTGAATGATTTTGCATCTTGGGCATCCCTTAATCATTTAGCGCCCTAATTTCATTGTAAACAATTACCATACAATTATATTTCATTTTGCATTATATCATGAAAGTTTCTTAATCATTCTGATCACTTAATCATTATGCACCAAACCATTCATCAACCCCTAAATTTGCATGTCATATGTCATATTTTATTAGCTCTCACCGAATCACATTTTCTCCCTCCTTTCCCACTTATCATCATTTGCCTTCTTTCATATAAAACCTTGATATTCTCCATCATTCATTAAGTACTCGCTATGTCGATTACTTCCTCCACGAGTCCTCTTTTTGTATCAGAATAAAACAGATTTTTGTTACGAACTAAGAAAAATCTTATTTTTTGGAAAATTACCAACCATTGTTGATGATTCAACTCATGCCTATATTTAAGATTTCAAAATTACCGTTGTTTTTCATATGTTATTAACTCTTAACTACTTAGTGATACGGCAGCTCAAGATTCGAACACGGAAGTTGATGAGCAATGTGGAGTCCTAGAGCACGCACCAAGCCGTCGATCAAGTCGGGTCTCAGTGGCATGAAGTTATGTGGTTAGAAAGGAGTAGTTGTAATAGTGTGCATTTAGTATGGTTGAGTGGTTTAAATAGTTATGCATGTAGTACTTGGTTATTCATGTTTGTAGGAGAGTGGTTTTAGGCATGCATGGAAAACCAACTTGTATGTTTCTTTGGGCTTGTGTAACCGTGTATAAAAGGGAGACAAAGAAGGAATGCATGTTATGTTTTTGCTGCAAAATTCTTGTTCTCTTCTCTCTTATAATTCTGGAGTTGGCACTCACTCGAAGAGTGTTGTATGAAGGTCGTATAAAATTACCTAATATTGAGTATGTAAATCTTAAACACTTTCAAGAATAAAATCTAAAATCACCTCACGTGGACTTTTGATTTTGAAATTGATGGTTCTACACATTTTTCGTTTTAATCCTAACAGTTTGAAAACAATGATGAAAAACGTCATGATGGTTGGTTTCATTTGATGAGGGTTTTTCTTCGAATTTAGCTTCTCCAAAATGGAGAAAGTATGAAAAAGAATCACTATTAAATAAAGGGGTTTCACCGAGGGGCCGATCTGTAGAAAAAAGGATCATCAACGGACCTCACCGCCAGAGAAAACATGGGTGGTGATCATAATTACTGATGGATTATATCTACAGTCATACCGCCAGTGGTAGTAGTAGTCATCAGTGATCCACTCCGTCACAAATTTTCAACAGAAAATTTGTGTATAGTAGTGGACGCAATTTTTTCCAAATTTAAAGATTTCTTAAGCGTATTGTTAAGAGTTCGTACAACCAAATGAAATAAATAAAAAGAGGGAGAAAAATAATTTTCGTTAAATTATTAAATATTTTTTTTGTATAGATTCAAAATTTTGGTAAATAGCAACAACCAGTGGAGTTTGTGAATACACACATATATACTAGGATAGTACTTGCATAATGCAGCGAGATACATATCGATTTTAGTGTTTCATTTTTTTTTTCCAGTCGATTTAATAATACGGTTTTATATGGTTTTGTATAAAACGATAATGTTTTTATTTTTGAATAAAATATAATATAAAAATATCATAAAAAATGAAAAAAAAAATATTGATGTTAGTACCAAATTAAATATTTAAATTTTTTCTTTTTTCTATATTTTTTAAAATTATTTTTTATTTTTATTTAATAATATAATTTTTATAAAGATAATAATTAAGTATTTTGTTAAAACTTAATGATTATCTTAATTATATTTTAGATTTTTTATATTTAAACTGGGATGTTTATTATCTATTTGATTATGTTTATCTGCAGTTACTTACACAAATTCAAACATAAAATTTTAATAAATTGTATTTACATATAATTTATTTATAATCTTAAATTTTAATTAACATGCAACAAAAAACAATACATTATACATAAAATAAAAATGATTTTTAAAAATTTTTATCAAATATTTTATAATAACGTATAGATATATATAATGATGAAGTTACAGAAACTTCATTCCACCGGAATCAAAACTTCATTGGTCCTAAAAGCCGGCAACGTGATCCATGGCGGATTATATCTTCCCAACACATAATCGCCGGTTATCTTAACCCCATCTCTTTCCAAATCTTTCTTCAACTTCTCCACCTTCTTCGCCACTACTTCTTCCGACGCCACCCCACTAAACGTCACCACCCCGTACTTCCTCTCTCCCTCCTCCCTTATCACCACCCTCTCATCCACCGGCTTCGGCGCCTCCTCCGCCTTTTTGTACTTTTCCGGCAGTGTAAACTGCATCGTCATCATCTTTTCTCCATCTCCCTTCGTCACCACAGGCGAAGTCATGTCTATCTTCTCCGGCTTCGTTATTACCGGCGACGTCATCGCAATCTTTTCCGGCTTCGTTATTACCGGCGACGTCATCGCGATCTTTTCCGGCTTCGTATTCTGTGGGTTGCCAAAAGCACCGATGTAGTTGGCTAGTATCTTAAACCCACCGTCTTTGTCTCCTTTGAACTGGGTTGGATCGTAGGTGATCTCCGCCGTCACCGACGCTGAGTATTGCCGGATCTCGTAGCCTGCCGATGACTTGATGACTTCGAATTTCGGTGTTTCCACGTTCACTTTCCCAAAAACCATACCCATTATAATTAGCAAGATATTTATGAGTGCTTGTAAAGGTGGCTGACTGGTTTTATTAGGGTTTTCTCCATGAACGAGCGGTGATCATTGGTCGTGTCTTGTGCGGAGTCCATCACACCACGTTATCCCACGTTTACATTTCTTCCGTACAATTTCTAATGCACAACGTACATGTCATTAATTCATCACTTTCACAACAATTGTTCGATTACTACACGAAACATAGAATAAGAATTTGTTTTCACAACCTTTTTTTATTAACTTGGATATCCAACCCGTCATCCAAGCCGACTAATTTCAGGACGACCATCCGTTTTGCAGATAGCTCGGAGTAACCGCATTTGAACCTCCGTTGTCACTTGTCACGCCTCTTTTTTTTTAATTAACCTGGATATCCAACCCGTTATGCGAGCCGACTAATCCCAGTGCGACCACCTGCAAAATAGCCCGGAGTCACCGCATTTGAACCTTCGTGACCATAAGGGAATTTTTATTCCATCTTGGATTTAAACATGGGACCTCCTGGTACTTTTGACCTTTAAAGCCAAACTCAAACCAATCAAACACCACCCTTGTGGTTTAGTTTGGATCTACATTTGAACTCACCTGAATCACCCTATCTATCTTCAAAGGAGAAGTTTAAATTTTTTTATTCTTGATGTTTCATAGAGTTAAATAAAAATAACTCATCATTATAAAAAAATTCATAGTTATGTTACTTTAAGTTGATATTGTTACAAATTTAAATCTAAAAAATCAAAATCGTTCGTTTCATATTTAAACTCTATGGTATAGTACTTCGATGTTCAAGTTTGTTGAATCTTCAAATTATAAGTTCCGACGTTTCTTTGTGTTTGATTCGCTTGTTCATATTATAATAGTCTTTAAGCACAAGCAAAGCTTAAATCGATTTCCTCCACTAACCGCAACATCTAATCATTTAGAATCCTATATCGCACTCAAAGAAAAAGTACTAACTTGGGCTGTTACTAAATCATGTGTTACTATCACGACATTAGTTACTTTCGAAATCTTGATATTTTACATTCGGTGGAAGAAAATAAAAAGAACAATCATGATTCCCCATCATGGCTACCGGTAGCCTTGATGGAGAATCGTGATTGTTTTCCCTATCAAAATCCCAAAATTGATTCTCGTTCATATACATATTAAAAAAAATATGATCTTGTAGTTGTATACATACATAATTCATCTAAATTTGAAGTTGCTTATTTACTTTTTTACTTAGAGGGTGTTTGAGATTGCTTATAAAAACAACTTATTCCGGTGTGACACCGGTAATAAGTATTTTTGGGTGTTTGAATAAACAACTTATATCGGTGCCAAACCAGTAATAAAGAGTCTTTAAAGATTAAACCATTCTAACTTATAATAAGTTGATAATGACTTTTTATAGAAAAACATAAGTTGTTTCAAATAAACAATCCTAAACACCGCTTTAGTGTTGGCTAAATAAATATATAGAAAATGAAAATAATCATTTTCTCCTCCAGTAGATGAAGAAATAGCTCTATGTACATTACTCATTCTTATGTATTCATAAATTCCCAAAATACGTTGTTAAAAACTTTTCTGATATCAGTAGAATATATATAACCTGGATCCGTAATATTTAAGTCTAACGCATCGGTCTCAGTCATGTGATTAAGGGTTTTTAAGTCGTGCCACATTAAAACTTGATGTAAGTTTTCAAAATATTCAAGTAATTTTCTTTTTGGCAACTTTGTTGCTATTATTAATAATTGTTGTAATAACAATGTTTTAATAATATATATCCAATAAAAGATCTGTAATATCGTGAAAACATTTCAGAAGTTTTGCAAATACTTAGCTTACGTGCCAATCGGTAGTGATTGAAAGTAATAAAGCACCAATATCGATACTTTTTAATGCAATAAACTTTTGCAGGCATTTTAGATGTCGAATTGCACCGAATAGTCCAATCAATCTCCCATGACAAGGGTGAAAAACCTTTTAACTTGTAAAATCTTGAACTGAACCATGACTACCACGGGTCATGTTTGGTTTGATTTCAATATTTCTTAAAAAACTGGTTTTCAGTTCAATATTATTTGTAATACATCAATTGATTGGTTCTACTATGTTCAAAGTTTAAATGGGTAACAAACCAGCTTTGTATTTTTCAAATTTGAAACAATATTTCAAACTAAAACACACCAAAATGTGTATTCGTTTAACAATCCCGTTTGGAACCAACTTGATTGCATAAATTTCGGTTCTACTTTTCCTGTTTTGGTCCAATTCCGGTTCGGTCTGGTTTCAATCGGAAAGATACCTGTTAAATGTTATCTCAAGTTAGAGGAAACGTGTTCGTACTTTGAGGATAGATCACTTGCGGTAAGTCCTTGAATTTGTTTCCAATAGGCCGTCGGTTCAAGTCTCTTATCACTCCTATTCAGTTTGCAAGATTTGATGAAAGTCCACAATTGAAATTCTATGATTTCACTTAAACCCCACAAATATTGGATTTAGAAATCCGATGACAGTGTTGATATTTTACCGGGTCTCATAAGATTTGTTTATACTGTTTTGTAATATGTTAAAAACATTTACTTTGTAATAATCAATTAATACAAGATAATTTAATTCTTTTTATAATTATTTATAATCTAGTTGCATGAAAAAGTAACGTACTTTAACTTGATTCCTATTTTGGGTAACGTATTTTCAAAACTTCCATTTTGGTACCTAAAATGTAAAGTTTTAAACATTTAAGTACCCGGGTAACCAGTAAAGACTAATTTTAGACTAAAAAAAGACTAATTTTAGATTTAAAAAAATTCACGTCACTGACTAGGTCAACAAATAATACCGAGTTGGATACCACATCACTTGCCACATCAGTATGATAACCGGTTAATACTTTAACCAGTTACCCGGGTACTTAAATGTTTAAAACTTTATATCTTAGGTACCAAAATGAAAGTTTTAAAAGTACGTTACCCAAAATAGGAATCAAGTTAAAATACGTTATTTTTTCATGCAATTTACCCTTTATAAATTATCTATAAAAAATAGAATTAAATTTCGTTTCAAATCCTACAAATCAAACACACCAAATATTCTAAATTATAAGTATAGCCTCAATTTAAAAAACAGAAGGAAAAAGCATATGCATACAAGAGTTGACAATAAATGAAAGCATTATAAGGCAACTCATTCTCCATTTCTATTTTCTGGAAACGCTGTTCAGATTGCACAACAAATGACCAAACCCAACCTAAACTAACACCAAAGAGCCAACACAACCTAAACCAACACCAAACGAACCAACCCACTTGGTCATGATCGAACCACAGACACCAGACGAACCAAACATGACCAAAGTGGTCAGTTGGGCTTATACGGCTACGGCTACGGCTACGGCGCTAGTCCTTTCTCAACGGTTCGTTCGATTCAGAAGCTCAAATTGTAACAAAATCTTCGGCTTCATATCCGCTACAAACCTTGAAACATTACCACATAGAAGGCACGTAAACTTGTTCTTTCAAATTTTGAGCAGCGCTTTCTGTCGGAAAACCTCTCACCGCCCCAATCGTCCACTGAGCTATAATTCCAGCGGCAACTGCAAACCGAAGCTGCCTTTCAAGAACATCTTGATTCACAAACATCTCCGGTTGGGACGTCAACTTCCTCATAATCGCAGCAACAACCGCATCACCTGAACCCGTTCTATCACATGTAAACGGTGTTATCAGCACATCCTCGGTCCCAACCACGACCCCATCAAAATCCGGAGAATAATAATGAAGTCGAAGGGTCCCGTCTGTCACAAATAAGAATTTCAATTTATCGTGCCATAAAGGGGAGATTTCTTCGCGGGTGTAGTGATAATAATCTTTCCCTTTTTCTTTTGTTTCAGCGTGAGTTTCTGCGTAATATTGCGGCTGGTAATTTCTACGTCTTTCATGGTAGTGCTCATCGAGGAGGAATTCGAGTTCTTGTTTGCTAACTTCGATGATGTCGGCTTGTTCCCAGGCGTTATTTATCACTTTCCTTGTTTCGTGGCGGGATTTCCATAATGGCAATGGGAGATTCATGTCGAAGAATATAAGGCTGCCGAATTTTTTAGACCATGATATTGCTTTAAACAAGGTGGCTTGCATCGAGTCGGATGTAAGGACTTCGGAATTGAAGTGGAATATTCTTGCCTGCATAAAAACAGAAGCAATCGGCTATTTATCAATATCTTTACATCACACAAGAGTTTCAATTGTAAAAAAATTGAAGCAATGTGTTGAATCAACATGACTTGATCATTGCATCACAGAAGAGATCGTCACAAGCATTTTTGAGACTATATTCACCTACAGAATGCAGGGGGTTGGGTTGGGGGAGAGGGATATATATATACACACAGACACGCACACACAGACAGAGAGAGAGGAAAGATCCAGAGAGACCCAAAAAAAATAACGTGAAAGATATTCATGATGAATGTCATGACAGATATTCATGATTATTCAGGGACATTCATTATGAATACTACATTTTGCAAAGAATTTCTTGAAGATTATATCAATTAACAGTAATATTAACATATACATTATTACATATAAAAAAAAAACACCTGCATTCATTTTAAATCATCTGTTAACAATCTAACATTATACTGACATCAATTTAACAACATGTCAACCGAAATTGTGCTAATATTAACGACAAAAACTATTAACGTCAGTTAACAGTAACATTAAACGCATACTAGTCACCAACGTTCAATTAAACTTACGCCCATACAACGAAAACAACAAGAGAGAAGAGACAGAGATGAAGATATGAAGAAGATGCCAAACTAAGAAAAGTGAAAGCAGTAATGTTGACAGTCCAATTTCATATTTCTTTTTGTGGAGTAAATTAGTTGTAAAGACGATAAATTGGACAACTAAAAGGGCCTAAGACAAAATTAGCTTTGCCTCTTGCTTCAGAAGCCAAAAGGACTTAGCTCGATGCCTTCTTATGCTAACAAATGTCTCTTTTCTCTTCAAGAGCATCGTGTGTGTCTTGAACCTCAAAGGCCAAAATAGCCTATGAGCTCGGCCAAAGCAGGGTTCAACATTGCACTTCGACAGGCCCATGCCAAGTCATGCCCTCGATCATATGCTCAGTTTTAGCAGAGTTTAAAATTATCTAAACTAGGAAGGCATCCTTCAAATTCTTTCCGAGTAATTGTATCAATGAAACAAGAAAATTAGTCATTTAGCGGCCGTTTGGTTGTTTTTTCATCTAAGTCATGTATGCATAAAGTTGGCTGTATAGCTAAGCAGTTAACATGGTCGATTGTGGAAATCGCGGTCGGGACCTTGATTTGCAATCGCGGTTATCGCAGTGAGATAGCAGTGCAATAGCAGTAAAAGAAGGTTCATACGTTAAATACAAATATATATATATATATACACACACACATATAACTTAATATATTGTATGCCTAATATATATGAAGTCAAACAACTCAAAGTAAGTTTCAAACCACACAAGGCTAAAAAATTCGAAGTCAAAAAATTGAGGGGGCAGAGACGGCGACTTCAAGGAGGATGTAGGGAGGCGGCGACCTGGAGGAGGGACGAGGCAATGGGCACAGCAAGGAGGAGGATGGTTTAGGTTTTTCCATTAAGAGAGGAGGCAGAGGCTTGGGTTTTTCAATTGAGGGGTTAGGTTTGATGGAAGAACGTGATTTTCACAGGGGTAAGGGTGGGAAATATTCTGTCTATACGAATAAAGGTGCCTCCTAACAACTTATTAGATAAGCCCTTCTCTATATCATTCAGCCATTTCCAAACGTTTTTATATGGCTTAGCGAACTAGCTTTAAGCCTTATTAAGCTAATTAAACTCTTTCCAGGCCCTTGGACAAGTAACTGGATCAAAGTAAAGTTCGTAATTAAATGAAAGTTTTAATTCCTACACGTATACATAATGGCCTAATCTGATGGTAACAGTTTATACATTTAAACAAACTGCTTGTGTTTGCTTAAATGTCCACTTAATTTTCTTTTGGGCTATTAAGCTCTAGAAGATAAAGCAGCCATCTAGCTCCGCTTAATATTTTTTCCTTGCTTAGAAAAGAAGCGAAATGCCCTTTTCTTTATTCCAACTACATCTTCATTTTCTCAATGACATTGGTTTCCAGAGTCTCACTTACTTGAGCCGTGCAATTTATAGGCCTCCCTCAAAAGAACCAGTCTGAGAGCACTAAGTTCACTTTATAACATGTATTCAAATTGGTGGTCCTTGAATAAAAATTTACTCAAAATCATGAAGTCCATTGCACATGTATATAACAAAATTTATATTTTGGTCACAATGTTTAAAAAGCCTACCAAGTCCAACAGGTTCGATTGGTTGACCCTTCAATTGGTAAGAAAACATGTGAGTCAATCCTACAATAATTTATGGAAAACTTGTATAAACTCTGTGACTAGACAGCATTTCAACATTTCACATTTGATACATCAAGTACAAAGTTGTCCTTAGTGTTCTCTTACCCTCATTGAACTATTTCCTTTGTTTACCATGGTGTTCGATGATAAACATAACTTTTGTAAATTAATTGTTTGTCTTTGACTCATTATGTTTGATTTATTACTATTTAAATAGTTTCTGTTGTGATACACAGGCACAGTACTATAGTAGGACTTATTCATAAACTGTTACGTAATCGACTGATTACGTAAGCAAATCGAATTAATTGAGAAACAAACGGAAGGATTACAATACGGAAAAAGGAAGAAGACGATACAGACTCCAATCCTCAGAAGGATCCCAGGGAAGAATTCCCTTCTCCAAGCGATAGCTAGAGCCTAACTGACGGTTACTTTTCTGCATGTCTCCACCACAAGCCAAAACTCCTTATTATAATATCTCCAAATTACTAATTCCCTTTATGGGCCTTGGGCCGTCTCACAGACTTTCCAAGTGGTAGGCCTAGAATTGATTGGACTTAATTGAGAAGAAGCTTGGTTCTGTAGTGCATCACTTGGCCCTCCATCAAAATTGGTCTTGTCCTCAAGACCAGCATCAGGTAACTGACTTTGAATAGTCATTGCATCCTCCCATGTCACCTCTTCTAATGGACGTCCCTTCCATTGAATGAGCCATTGAAGAACCGTGTCCCCTTGACAGTCAGAGATGCGGGTCACACGAATAGCCTCTAGAAACAACTGATCGATTACATCTAATTCGAATTCTGCCGGAAGTGAAGGCTCAACAGGTGACCCTGTACAGCTTTCTTCAACAACGGAATATGAAAAACAGGATGCACTTTAGATGATGGAGGCAACTGCAAGCGGTATGCTACCGAACCCACCTTCTCAACAATTTGGAAAGGACCAACATAACGAGCCGCTAACTTTTGATGAATGCGTTGAGCCATGGATAGTTGACGATAAGGACGTAACTTGGCATAGACCTGATCGCGATTTGGAAAACCACATCGCGTCTTTTTTTATCTGCTTGTGCTTTCATTAGAGCTTGTGTGTGTAGCAAGTGTACTTTTAGTTGCTTTAAGGCCTCATCTCGATCTTTTAACTCATGCCCCACCGCCTCCACTCGAACTTCTCCGGGAATGAATTGGGTAATGTTAGGTGGTTTGCGACCGTACACCACCTCAAAAGGAGAGATACCGGTTGATCCATGAAAAGTAGAATTATACCAAAAATCTGCCCACGAACCCATAAGGACCACGAACACGGTTGATCGACTGCAAAACATCGCAAATAAGCTTCCAGGCATCGATTTATAACTTCCGTTTGCCCATCCGGTTCCGGGTGATACGACGAACTCATATGTAAATGAGTTCCTTGTAGGCGACATATTTCTTGCCAAAAATGACTCATAAAGAGCGGATCACGATCGCTGACAATCGATTTGGGAATACCGTGAAGTCAAATAATCTCTCGAACAAAAACATCCGCGATATTTCGAGCCATGTATGGATGTTTGAGGAGGATGAAATGACTGTACTTGGATAATCGATCCACCACGACTAATAATGCATCAAATCCCTCGGATTTAGGCAGCCCCAAAATAAAATCCATGGATAAATGCTCCCRGATAACCTCTGGAATGTCCAAGGGTTGTAATAGGTCTGCGGGAGTCAACAAACTCGACTTACATCGCTGACATATGTCACAAGACTGCACAAAACGTTGTACAGCAGAACTCATGCCCGGCCAATAAAGGTTTGCAGCAATTCGGCGATACGTTCGGTAATAACCCGAATGCCCTCCGGTAGCTGAAGTGTGGAATTCCTTCAACAAAATAGGAATCCATTTCGAATTCTGTGAGATGACCAATCGATTTTTGTGATATAGAACGCCATTGTGCACAGAATAACCCTGATGGGACCCGGCATTCTCTTGACATTCTTGAATGAGCTGCTGAATCTGAGGATCAGATTTAGCCTCGTCTAATAATTGAGCGCCTTGTACCCATACCGGTTGGTACATCATTGAGTTCAATTCTCCGTTATCATTGCGACTTGAAAGAGCATCAGCAGCTTTGTTTTCACAACCCGCCTTGTAACAGATTTCAAAATGATATGCGAGCAATTTGGCCACCCAATTCTATTGATCTGGGGTGGTGATACGTTGCTGTAAAAGATGTTTGACTTTTATGATCCGTGCAAACCACAAATTGAGTCCCTGACAGATAACTCCGCCAATGTTGAACGGCAAGAGCCAACGCCATAATTTCCCATTCGTTTACCGACTTCGCGAGGTTACAATCACCCAACGCCTTACTGAAAAAAGCAATAAGACGCTGTTGTTGCATTAAAACAGCCCCGATGCCACAACCCGAAGCATCACGCTCCACTACAAAAGGAACTGAAAAATTCGGTAAGCCAACACGGGAGCCGTCGTGATGGCAGTCTTAAGAAGATCAAAAGACTGTTGTGTCGCTTCATTCCAATGGAAATTATCTTTTTTTGTAAGTTCGGTCAATTGTTTAGCAATCGATCCATAATTCCGAACAAATTTCGGTAATAGCCGATCAGTCCAAGAAACCCACGAACTCCTTTAACTTGTTTTGGAGTTGGCCAATCCAAAACTACTTGGAACTTTTTAGGATCCATCGAGACTCCCTTCCCATCAATAATATGGCCTAAATACTCCCCTGATGATTGACCAAATGAGCATTTCTTTTGATTCACC